GTGAGCTGTGATGCCATAGCACTCTGCCCAGGGGGATAACTTGAGGCCCTGTCTCAAAAAAAAAAAAAAAAAACAAAAAAACCCCGTGTATTAGGCAAATTACCTGGTGCCTGCTGAACTCCAGCACCTAGAACTATGTTAAACTCACAGTAGGCTGCTGGATCCATAGAACAAATGAGAGAGAGTACCAACAGTTTCCTCTGTGCCTCCATTTCCTTGGAAGGTTGTGTCACAGATTAAAGAGGAAAATGTGTGAAAAGTTCAATTATTACATCACAGAGGTTAAGTAAGTCACAGGGCTAGTTAACGCGAAAGCTGAGATTTTGAACCCAGGCTGTATGCCTCAAACCCCTGACTCAAAGTCTATACTCATAGCCCCACCTCCCCTTGGACACCACCTAACAAGGTTGTGCAGCCCCCAGGGATGTTTACAAGGACAACAAGCTCATGCTTTCCTCACAGGGTCTGAGAGGTAAGGCTTCCTTTCCATCCTCTCACAGACACCCTGCCCTCTCTTTTGATGCTAGAGGGAGAAGCCATCTGCAGCTGTTGGAATTTAGAGAAAAGCTAGGATTGGCCCAAGGTCACACAGCTGGTGCTGCATCCAGACTCAGGACTAGGCTCCTCCTTTATCCTATAGTGCAGTAGGTCTCAACCTTCCTAATGCCGTGAACCTATACAGTCCAAAGGGGTCAAAACCCACAGATTGAAAACTGCTGCTATAGTTGGAAGAGGAATCAAAGAGAAGACAGAGGTTGGGAATGAAGTGTGCGATGTGATAGCATTGATGGGGGATGGGCTCATAGGATCCACTCCAGAGGAAGGTAGAGTGAGTAGATGCTTCCTGCCTTGATAGTCCCTCCTCTGGCCTCAGCCTTCCTACAGCCAACCTGGGTGCCAGGGAAGGGCTGACTCTTGCTTTTGCAATTAGGCAGGACTCTCTCGCTCCACCAGGAGCCCTGTCCTCCTGTTCCAAGCCTGACCTGCTAGGAGGATCACTTTACCTATGTACAAAGGGCAGGTCAGCTCTCTCAGAACCCAAGCATTCCTTTGGGCCTTGGGATTAGAGGGGAAACATATGCTCAACAGCTCCTAATGCCCAATAACTTCTGTGGGAGTAGAGCCTGCATGCCATGAAGACCTCCAGCCCTAGCTCTGCCTTTAAGATGCTGTGACCCTGACCCTGGACCTTCTGTCTCTTCTCCCCTCAGGGTTAGTGTGAAGGTCTCCAAATGTCAGGGTACCCCTCTGAGTCTTCTCTGGGCAGGGAAGAGTCCTCTTGACTTTTCCTCTCTCCACCTCCTCCACTCCCAGGGCACACCCAGATTCCTGTCCATCCCATCCCTTCCCATGGCCACCCACCCCAAGAATAGTTGGTGTAGATGGGCATGCTGACCTGCAGCCTTCTTGGAAGTTGGGCTGCCTATAAAGGACCTTAGCCTTGGCTCGGCGCCTATAGCTCATCCGGCTAAGGCACCAGCCACGTACACCTAAGGTGGCGGGTTCAAATCCCCAGCCCGGACCCGCCAAACAACAATGACGGCTGCAACCAAAAAATAGCCGGGCGTTGTGGCAGGCGCCTGTAGTCCCAGCTACTTGGGAGGCGGAGGCAAGAGACTCGCTTGAGCCCAGGAGTTGGAGGTTGCTGTGAGCTGTAATGCCACGGCACTCTACCCAGGGGGACAGCTTGAGGCTCTGTCTCAAAAAAAAAAAAAAAAAGAATAAAGAACCTTAGCCTTGAAGTAGAAGAACTAGGTTCAAATCCTGACCCTGTCTAGTTAGGCTGAGAGGCTGTGGGCAAGTCACTCACCTATGCTGAGCCTCTTCCTGGAGGCTAATGATCCTGATTGGGGGCAAGAGCTCAGAGGCCTGGCCCACCCAACCAGAGCTCTCCTGTCTGAGCCCTTTTGGGACTGAATGTACCTGTTCCTCATCCTCCTAGCCTTGAGCAATGGCCTCTGAGCCCCACCCCTCACTGGTCCCAGCTCCCTCCACCAGAGTGCATCTCTGAAGCAGAGGCCTTTGAGAGAGTATTGTGGGCCAAGACTTCTCCCTTAATCAAAAGTAGAGGCTGGAAAGGCAGCCTTCCTTCCACCATTACTGCTTGCTGAGAAACCATATTACCATTACTAAGGCTGGAAGAGAGAGTCTCAGAAGGAAGGAGCCCTCTAATGGGGGCTGCACTGGCCTCAGGAGACACAAGGGTAGCATGGAGAAGCTCTGGTCCAGGAAACAAGATCTCATTCTGTTTATTTTCCAAAGATCTGCTGCCCAATGTTTCTAGGAAGTACCCCTGTCCAAAACCTAGGGCCCACAGCTCAGACCCCCAATTCAGGCCCTGATTCCAGGCTCTGCTAGCCCTGGCACAGGCTGGAAGGGCCCGCTGCCTCAGGGCTGACCTACGTCCTTTCTTTCTCCCTAATGCCCCTGTACGCACTCAGATGTCAAACTGCCTGAAAGAGGGGGGGGTCATTTTATACTTCTTTGCTTATTTATCCTCCAACAACCTCTAACTTCTGGAGAAGGTAAGTGGGCACAGAGAGACTAGGTTTTACCACTACCAAGAATTGAATTTGAACCCAGACTGTGGGAGCAGAGGCCAATCTCTACCCTGCAGAGTTATGTTTTTCTAATAAGGTCTGGTGGTCCCTGGGTCTCTGAAGAGTTTTGCTCTGTAGCCCTGGTGAGAGAGGACAAAGAGGATCACAAGTCTTGTCCCCCTTTTTTGTCTCTTCAAGGGCAGGGAGTGGAGGCAGGAAGCTGGAGGGTTGAAATCCTCCTACAAGTCCCTTCCCCTCTCTGGGCCCCAAGAGGAGATAATAATCAGACCCTGCCCTCCTCTCCATAGCCAAAGGCAAAGAGATTCACTAGGTTAAAGTTGGAGGAACCCCAGGACTGGACAGGGCTCTTGGGGGGGTCTCAGAGCCTGGGGCAAAGGGGCCTGCAGGGCAGCTCCTCTTTGGCTGACCCTCCTCCCCCAGAACCAGCTTCATCTCTTTCTGGGTTTCTAGGTGACTTGGCTGGCCCCTCTGGATGAGTTCTACTTTAAACTAGCTGCTGCTACTGCCTCTGTATTGGGGGGGCTCCCACAGGGGCCCCCAGGCAGGAACCTCCCCCCAGCCAAGCCCTGCGGGAGGGGCTGCAGCCCCCACCCATGGCAGTGCCCATGTGCCTTTCCCTCCTCCCATCCCTGGAACACAGATTTCAGGGCACCTGCTGTGAGCCAGGCACTGCAGACAGAGCCCCTCCTCAACTCTTTTCCTTTGGGGACACCCACGAGGCTTCTGACCTCTCTGGGCAGACAACCAGCGTTCCCTTGGCAGTTTTCAGCCGAGAGGCTCACATTGACAAGTCTCCAGTCATGAGGGTTTTCGGCACAAGAAGTAGGGTGTTCTAGAGCCCGCTCTGGAAGGCCGGGATGCCTGGCTCCTCAAAGGAGGTAGCAGGCGCCCATCCTCCCAGGGATAGGGACGGGGGAGGGGCGCCTGCCGGCGGGAGGCCCATTAGCTAGCTAAGTGCTCCCAGGGAGGAGGACAGTACGGATGCTGGAGACAGAGAGGCGAAGTGAGTGCACTTGGGGAGTGGGAGTGGCCTTTCCTGCACTCAGCTAGTGTGACAGGAGCTGGGAGGAGGACAGAGTTCTGTGACCCTCGGTCTAAGTTCTGCCCTCCGAGAGTACCCCAGCCCCCATCTCTCAGAAATCTCAGAGAGCTGACCCCGATCCGCCTTAAGCAGCGCCCCCTACACCCAGTCCCGCCGCGCAACATCCCCCGGCCCCAATGCCCTCCTCCAACCCCAGGTCCGAAGAATCAAGGAGCTGCTGAACTCTCAGTCAAGCCCCCACCTAGTCCGGGTACCCCTGGCCCAATCCCTCCAGTTGCAGTCGCCACCCCGGCCGCCAGGGGGAGCCGACGCGGGGCGGGCGGGCCAGACGCGGTGGGAGGAGGCGGTGCCGCCCCTGCCCCGCCCCTGCCCCGCCCCACCCGGGCCCCGCCGAGTCCCTGGTCGGTCCCGGACAGACTGGCCGGCGGGAGCTGACGCCGTGGGGCTGAAGCGGGCCGCGCGGGAGGGCGCGAAGGGAGCAGCGGCGCTCACAGTCTCCGTTGGGGCTCCGTGGGTTCCCGACCCGCCCCTGGCCTGGCCATGGCGGGCGCCAGGCCCAGCGTCCACGCGCTGCAGCTGGAGCCGCCCACCGTAGTGGAGACCCTACGGCGCGGGAGTAAGTTCATCAAATGGGACGAGGTAAGCGCGGCGGCTCCTGCTCCACCCAGATCCTGGGACTCCTTCAATCAAGCTCGATCAGACACTGGGGACCCCCAACTCCAGCCTCGACTGACCATGGCGGTCCCTGTCCCAGCGTGGCGGAGCTCCGGAAACTTGAGTCCCCAGTGATCCCCGTGATGAAGACTTTGTCCCCCCTCTTCTCCAGTTCCTCAGCTCTGGAAAATTTGGCTCTCCATTCCTTGGCGCCGGGACTTTGAACCCCAATAAATCCCGCTCCCCCCCTTTTGCACCCTTCCCACCACTCCCTACCAGACTAATTCTGGTTCTCCGATTTTGGCCTGGTCCCCAGACCTCTGTCCCGCACTCTACTCCTTGGCTGGAACACTCCGGCCGCCAGTTTGGCTCAGGGCATCTTCATTCTGGGTGGGTGCCGCTGGGACCCTACTCTTGCCGGCGCTCTTGCCTGAACAATCCTCTTCCATTCATCACTTTCTTACCTTGTTCTGGCTGCACCCCTTCGCCCTGCTTCTGGATCCCACCCAAGCTCCCTGCTCAGGTGGGAGCACCAACTCATGTCCTAGTGGAGACTTTGTCCCCCCAAGTTTTTCCAACGCCGGGAACTTTGCTCCCCATACCTTACTTAGCCCGGAACATTAAACCCCAATAAATCCTGGCCCTCCTTTCTACTTGTCCTGACCCTGGTGCATCTCGGACGCCGGGGCCCCATCTGCGGCTCCCTACGCCCGTCCCGTCCCCTTCCTCTGCCCCCTAGGCCCCTCCTTCCCCGGGGCCTCCACCGGGCCTGCTAGAGCTTCCTTGAAGCTCCTTCCCAGTCAGGCCACAGGCCTGGAAGACTCTAGGCTCCTTTCCGGCTGGGTGGGGCGGGTAGGCGTGGGAGCTGGGGGGAGGGGCTGGGGGCGTGGCCTGGAGCGGCAGGTGTGTGCAGAGCGGTGCTCACGCCCCTGGGGCCAGGGGAGACCCCTCCCCACTGGCCTGCCTAAAGGGAAAAGTTTCCCCTTTTCCTTCAAGTGTGATAAACCCAAATAAGGAAGTGGGAACATAGAGAGAGGCTTGGGGGTGGAGGGGTGCTGACAAAGGCGTGGGGCGGAGAGCAGGGGGCCTGGGCTGTTTTTGAAGGCCAGACCCTGGGGAGGGAGGGGTCCTGGGGGCAGTACCCACAAAACTTCCCCCTCAACTCACCCTTGGGGGGGGGCCTCAAACCCAGGACAGGGTTGGAAGTACCTTGGGGTGCTGGGGATAGGTGTCAGCACACTGAGGTAAGTTTGGGGACCTCTTGTTCCTTCAGTCCCCAGATTGACTCCTGTCCTTTGTAAGCAAAACCTGCAATGGGTGGGGCTGGTTCAATCCCCATTCTCCAGAAGAGGAAAACTGAGGTCTGGAAAGGGAAGCTGTATTCAGACCCCATAGTGGGGTGTGGCAGAGGCCAGGAGGCTGGCAGGAATCTTGGTTCTGTATCTCCCAGGTCACAGAACACTGGACCCACACTGCCTGTGTGCAAGTCCTGGCTCCTCTTCTTGACCTTGGGCAAGCTAAGGAGCATCTTCAGTTCCCTTGTCTAAAAAAGGGGGATGACAAAAACTTGTACCTCATAGGGCTATCAGGAGGCCTAAGTGGACTCACACATGTTATGTGCTTACTACTGTACCCAGCACACAGTAGTGATAGCATGTGTGAGCTGTTATATTAATGATGACAGCATTGTCCTTCAGACAGTGAGTAACAGTTTGGGGTTAAGGTTAGAGCAGTCAGGGTGAGGTGGGGTCCTCTTCTGGCTAGAGGAGCCTGGGGCAGGACAATTCTACCTATGGTCACCTGGTTACTCAGGCCCTAGCCATGTCTAAACCCTTGAGCTCTTGATGACACCCCCTCTGGCTGCTTACCGAGTCACACGGGTGGACCTGAGAGGGTGCCAGGGACTGGGCTCTCCTCAGAAAAAGGGGCTGGCACATACTTCCCTGCCCTCTGCCAGCTGCAGGGCTGTTTGAGGAGGACAGAGCTTGTTGCCTGGTCTTGAGACCAGGGGAAGTCTCTTGTTGGGTGGACTCTGTGCTTCTATAAGATGGGAGTGAGCCTTGGGAGGTGCAAGGGTGGATAATGGACCTTGAAGCAGACTGAAAGGTGGCCAGTCATCATGGTGTCTCAAAGGATTTAGAGCGCTGTGGGGGTCAGACTTCTGAACCCTCTGTTCTTATCCCATGAACATTCTGAAGTGAGCTAAAGTAGGGGGATATGGAGGGCTCCAACCATCACAGTGCCGGAGCTTCTGGGGAAACCAAGCCCAGGGTGGGGGCTGGGGATGCTTCCCAGGAGCTGGGTAGAAAAGGAAGGATATCCTAACAAAGGAGATAGTGAAGCAAGGCTGGAAGATGAGGAGAGGGTAGGTAGAATTGTCCATGTAGCAGACTCTTAGGGTGAATGGGAGGCAAGGCTGGGAGAGGTGTTGGGACAAGAACTTGCAGACTCCGAATGTCATGCCGAAGATGATGGCTTTGTCCTGAGGGCTGTAGGCAGCCACAGAGGACCTGGTGGGTGGATAAGGCTTCATCTTAACTCACTGGCACTACAACTGGGGTGGATGACTGGAGGGGCCCCAGTCCTAAGCCTGGGTTACCGCCTTTACTCCCTGACCTCTGCTATCCTATGCTGTCCCCAGGAGACCTCCAGCCAGAACCTGGTGACTCTGCGTGTGGACCCCAATGGCTTCTTCTTGTACTGGACAGGACCTAACATGGTGAGGGCAGGTGCTGATGAAGCTTGCTCAAACCAAGGGCCCTGCCCGTACTCCCTGTCCTGCCCACAGGGGCAGCTGCAGGACAACCTCGCCTATGGTTTCCCAGACAGGAAGTGCTAAGGGCAAGGGCTGAGGCTAGTGCTGGAGCCAAAGGGTGGCTATTCCCTGGCCTGGGTGGGGAGCTCAGGGGCTGCTATCTCTCAGCCTATGGCCTCTCAGACCCACCCAAGCATCTGGTTTCCCCAGGAGGTGGATACACTGGACATCAGTTCCATCCGGGACACACGGATGGGCCGTTATGCCCGCCTGCCCAAGGTGAGTGATGGGGCCCAAGTCTAAGGACCAGATCAAGGCATGGGTTCTGAGATACCCCTTCTAACTCTTGGTTCTCACCTACTCAGGACCCCAAGATCCGGGAAGTGCTGGGCTTTGGGGGCCCTGATGCCCGGGTGGAAGAGAGGTTGATGACAGTGGTGGCTGGGCCAGACCCCGTGAACACAGTATTCTTGAACTTCATGGCTGTGCAAGATGACACGGCCAAGGTGGGCTGGGGCAGAGGGGACAGCCAGGGGTCACTGTCTTACTTGCTGAATTGGTTGTCACTTACTGAGCACTTGTGTGTTCTGGGTTGCTCTCTGGCTTGCTGTGTATCAGACCCAGGTCTGGGCCTGGGCTGTGGTCAGGCCAGCCCCTTGATTCCCCAACTTGTCCCCTGCCTATGTATGCTATGCCCCAGGTTTGGTCTGAGGAGCTGTTCAAACTGGCTATGAACATCTTGGCTCAGAACGCCTCCCGGAACACCTTCCTGCGCAAAGCGTGAGCCCTGGGCCACCCTGGGGATTGTCTGGGGTTCAGGTGGCCATTCCCAGGGTATAACCCCTTCACTTATGTCCCCAGATACACAAAGCTGAAGCTGCAAGTAAACCAGGATGGACGGATCCCAGTCAAGAAGTGAGCACCCCTTCCTCTCAGCACCTTCTCTCCTGGCCTGACCTTGGTGGTCTTTGCCCCTCCACCAACCCTGTCTCTTACCTGTATCAGTGTCCTGAAGATGTTCTCAGCAGACAAGAAGAGAGTGGAGACTGCATTGGAATCCTGTGGCCTCAATTTCAACAGAGTGTGTGGGGCAGGGGCAGGCATGGGTGAGGCATTGCAGGACACTCACCTTCCTGTGGCTGACTGCTCCTGGGGTCTCACCTCATACCCTTTGGCCCCCAGAGTGAGTCCATTCGGCCCGATGAGTTTTCCTTGGAGATTTTCGAGCGGTTCCTTAACAAGTTGTGTTTGCGACCAGACATTGACAAGATCCTGCTGGAGATGTGAGTAGGGCTGGGCCCCCATCCTGCCCTGTGCTCTGGGTCTGGCCTCTATTCAATGTGCCTTATAGTCCAGTGTGGAGGAGAGGAGGCTGGAGGCCAGGGAGGGGCAGGTAGAAAACCTGTTACTGATGTACTCTTGCTTGGAGCCACCATTATGCAGCTGTTATGGACAGCTGTGAGCCAACCCTTTGCCAGAGCTTTTTTTTTTATTTTAGAGACAGATTCTCACTTTATTGCCCTTGGCAGAGTGCCTTGGCATCACACCTCACAGCAATCTCCAACTCCTGAGCTTAGGTGATTCTCTTGCCTCAGCCTCCCGAGTAGCTGGGACTACAGGCGCATGCCACAGCACCTGGCTATTTTTGTTGTTGCAGTTTGGCCGCGGCTGGGTTCAAACCTGCCACCCTTGCTATATCGGGCTGGTGTCCTACTCACTGAGCCACAGGTGCCACCTGAGCCAGGGCTGGTTTAATCAGCCCACTCTGCTGATGAGAACCAAGGTTCATACATGGATGGTCTGGGACTTACCTGACCTCACATAACAAGTGAGGGCTATAGCTGAGATTGGGTCTGGGATCTGGAAGCACAGGGTGGTGGGCTGAGCACTTGACAGTTTCCAAGGCCCTTTGCTAATGTTGGTGCCAGCTCCCTCTGCTGCCTTAACAATGCCAAGTAGCCAGCAGAGTAGAGGGGAAACTAGACCTAGAGGGGGCAGTGACTTGTCCTAAGTCTCACTCAGGGTGACAGAGCCAGAAGCAGGCCTTCTGATGCCTTTGTCTGGGCGAAGTCTTGGAGAGGGGGTGGCAGATGCTGAGGCTGCAGCCTCACCTGGCTTTTGGCTCCTCCAGAGGTGCCAAGGGCAAGCCGTATCTGACGCTGGAGCAGCTCATGGACTTCATCAACCAGAAGCAGCGGGACCCGAGACTCAATGAAGTGCTGTACCCGCCCCTGCGGCCCTCCCAGGCCCGGCTGCTCATCGAGAAGTATGAGCCCAATCAGCAGTTCCTGGAGCGAGGTAAGCAACCGGGATACAGGTGGTGAGGTGGTCAGGAGGTACCCTAGTTGATCCTGCTGTCCCCCAACCCCAGACCAGATGTCTCTGGAGGGCTTTAGCCGCTACCTAGGAGGTGAGGAGAATGGCATCTTGCCCCTGGAAGCTTTGGATCTGAGTGTAGACATGACCCAGCCGCTGAGCTCCTACTTCATCAACTCCTCCCACAACACCTATCTCACAGGTGAGTGGGGAGACAGTGGCACCCATGACCTCTGCCCTCTTGCCCTTGCACTGCTCCCCTTCCTCTTGGGATACAATTCTTTTGGATCATTGCTTGTTTGTCAGCCAGTGCTGGGGAAACAAGGCTTCTTGGCATGCCTCACGGTGCTTGAGGAAGCTTCCATGGGGAAGAGCTGAGGCCTGCAACAGCTGGCAACAAAGAGGAACAGCCTTTGTGAAGGCCTGGAGCAGGACTGCTTGGTGTTTTTTTTTGTAGGGACAGAGTCTCATTTTGTCACCTTCAGTAGAGTACTGTGGCATCGCAGCCCATAGCAACCTCCAGCTCTTGGGCTTAGGTGCTTCTCTTGCCTCAGGCTCCCAAGTAGCTGGGACTAGAGGCACTTGCCAAAATACCCAGCTATTTTTTGGTGCAGTTTGGCTAGGGCTGGGTTCAAACCCACCACGCTCGGCATATGGGGCCTGTGCCCTACTCACTGAGCCACAGGTGCCGCCCTGCTTGGTGTTTTTAAGAAGTAAAAAGGGTGGCTCGGCGCCTATAGCTCAGCCAGCTAAGGCGCCAGCCACGTACACCTAAGGTGGCGGGTTCGAATCCCCAGCCCGGACCCGCCAAACAAC